ATTGGTACTTATGAAAGCTGATGTTTGTATTGTATGTTTGTATTCGAACTTGATTAGGCTGATGTTTAGGATGCTTGTTGTATGTTGCGTTGTTGTACATTAAAATTCTTAAAATTAAGTCGTCTTATAATCTTTTGGTTGTGCAATTTAAATTTAGGTCGTCCAGAGGACAAGGTAACCATGGACGACTTAACAACACTAGACGACTTAATTATAGGTCGTCTGAACGACTAAAAAACACTAGACGACTTAACTATAGGTCGTCTGGACGACTAATCAACACTAGACGACTTAATTATAGGTCGTCTGAACGACTAATCAACCGGATTCTTACTTTGTGGTTTCGTATGGCCAGTTTCCTTGCAGTTTGAGCATCTATAAACCCTGTGTTGCTTCCGTGGTTTGCGTCCTTTCATCCTAGATAGTTCCAACCAAGATTGCCATCTTGATTTCTTCTGTCTCCCCGGACCACACTTTACCTCTGGAGGGAAGCATGTGCGTTCTTCAACTTGTTGTCCAGCACAAGGAAATATATTCTCTGAGTATCCTCCAAACAAATACTCCTTTGAGTACACTTGATGTACAAGTGTGGATATATGCAAACCAGCGAATGTACCAGCAGCTATAGCATGAGAACAAGGTATTTTCTCCACTTGGTAGACACCACAATCACACTTTCCATGTTCCAAATCAACCACACAGTCCATTTTGCCACCTTTCACAAAGAATCGCCATCCATCAATTGGTTGGGCCCTCATCGTATCTGCTATCTCCTCTCGAACATCAAGCAAGTATTCAACACCCCGACTATGTTGAGTTGGGAGACTCAAAGCATCTTCTCTCCTTTTCCAATACCACTTTCCTAGCTTCTCCCTTATGAACTCCAGTAGAAACTTAATCGGAAATCCTCTAGCTCGCTTCAGTGCAGAATTAATAGATTCAGCGATGTTTCTTGTTTTTATGTTGTACCTGTCCCCCTGACAATAAACCCTTGTCCATAGGCTGACGTCGGCATTCACCAAATACGTTCCAAGGCCGGGTTTGCACTATTTATCTCAGCCATGTACCGGTTAAAATCTGAAACCGTATGAGCATAAGCAGCACCTTTCACCAAGTATAAGAGATGTTTCCCTTTATACTTTTTGACAATGTTATCTTGAAGGTGATAATAACATATTCCTCTCACTGCCCAAGGAAACACCTTATCACACGCACTTTTAGTGGCCGTATGCCGGTTGGCTATCACCAGAGGCTCGTCATCAGATATACAAGTAGCCAATTTTGTGAAAAACCATTCCCAAGAAGGCTCGTCTTCAGCATCTACGATCCCAAAAGCCAATGGAAATATCTGAAAATTCCCATCTTGTGCGGCTGCAACCAACATAGTACCCTCATACTTCTCACTTAGGTGAGTCCCATCCACCACAATGACCCTTCGCTGATACTTAAAACCTTTGATAGAAGCTCCAAAAGACAGAAATAGATACTTAAATCTATCCATAGAATCAAGTTCTATAGCAGTGACTGAATCGGGATTTGCTAAGGAGATTTGCTCGAGATATGATGGCAGATGCGAATACCCATCTTCTGCTGTTCCTCTCACCAATGTTTGTGCATATAACAATGCCCTGTATGAAGTGGTGTAATCAACCTCCATGCCAAACATGTTCTTCATTGCATCTTTGATATGCTGCAGAGTCAACCCATCAATGATTCCAACACGATCAATGAAAAGCCTACCGACATACTTCGGAGTACAGTGTCTCCGCTGAGCGATTCGGTCTCCCACTGAGCATGTATGTGTTTCCACATATTTTGTTACCCAAAACGTGTTTGTACCATGTTTCACACTCGCTCTTATCTTCCATCCACAACCACTAACCCGACATGTTGANCATGTATGTGTTTCCACATATTTTGTTACCCAAAACGTGTTTGTACCATGTTTCACACTCGCTCTTATCTTCCATCCACAACCACTAACCCGACATGTTGACACAAGGAGAGTTTTCGTTGACTTGTATATTCTGAAGGAGAACTTACGCCTCACTGCTGTCAACCGCAGCTCTGAAAGCAGTGCATCCTTGCTAACAATACTCTTGTTGACATATATACTGTTACCATTCGATCGTCCTCCTTCAATAGCATATGTATCTTTGAAATCTTCAAAAATCACATCACCATCTTCTTCCTCATCCTCATCTATAACCTTTCCATAAACACTATAATCCTCACCATTCTCGTCCGCTTCAGCAACATTATAGCAAACAGAGATTTCAGCATCATCCTCCTTATCATCCTCCTCCCCATCATCCTCCTCCTTATCATCCTCCTCCTTATCATCCTCCTCCCCATCATGATTTTCATCTCCAACCAACTCATTATCACCTTCATCTTCAAAACATTCATCAGCTTCTTCCCTTTTCTCTGAAACCGCTCCCACCTTGCTACGGCTTGATACACAAAGACATACTCTATGAGTTTTGAGTATCTCGAGCAAGTTATGAACTTGTCTATCACTTGTAACATGAATGGGAGGGGTGTCTGGAGCCATCATCATTTCTGCTGGTAATGAGTATCTAATCTCCAGTCACTGACACGAGTACAGGTCCAATATTAGAAGAACACGGTAACGTACAAGTTCAGCATGTGTTGAATCTTCATTCAATAAAAACAATCTTGCTCCTTTGAGATCATCAACCACAAAATCCCAACGGCAATCTTTCAACAACCATTCTCCATACACTGCATGTAACTGACGAATCATCTGCAAAAATTTAAAATAAAACACATTAGTAAACATAGAGAATTTCATGAAAGTTTACTAAACATCGTCTGGACGACTTACTTCTAAGTCGCCCATTGAGGTCATTTTTGCAATTGAAATTTAAATGGGACGACTTACTTCTAAGTCGTCCACCTTTGTTTGTTAAAAAAAAAACTCCAGACGACTTAATTATAAGTCGTCTAGATAAAACGGTCTACTTTTGCTTTTGACCGAATTGTGTCAGATATTTAACTTTTTCTGGACTTAAAATTAAGTCGTCCCTGGGAAAGTTAAAATTTCAATATTTTATTAAATCTAGACGACTTAATTATAAGTCGTCCCAGGTTAGTTTTGCAATCCAAAAATAAAACTTAAATTTTTAACTTCTCCAGACGACTTAATTAGAAGTCATCTGATCAGACGACTTATGTTAAAGTCGTCCAGAATAAGCAAGGTTTGACCAGAAAACTCGAAAAATATTCTGGACGACTTTGATTATCCTGGACAACTTTAATCTAAGTCGTCTGAGCGGTCGACTTTTAATTAAGTCGTCTGGAGAAGTTAAAAATTTAAGTTTTATTTTTGAATTGCAAAACTAACCTGAGACGACTTATAATTAAGTCGTCTAGATTTAATAAAATATTGAAATTTTAACTTTCCCAGGGACGACTTAATTTTAAGTCGTTCAGAAAAAGTCAAATATCTGACACAATTCGGTAAAAAGCAAAAGTAGACGGTTTTATCTAGACGACTTATAATTAAGTCGTCTGGAGTTTTTTTTTTTAACAAACAAAGCTGGACGACTTAGAAGTAAGTCGTCCGTTTGACCAAAAGACTTATCCGTAAGTCGTCCACATCCAGAAGACTTACGGGTAAGTCTTCTACGCGAAGAGATCTGGAAAAAAAATTCAATTTCAAACCTTAAACTAGGTGAGATGACTTCCTTTGCACACAGAGTCTTCTCCAACCACCCAGAACATCGAACGAAAGTAATCCACCAACAATTGTATGCTTAAATGGCTCTATCAACCATAAAAAAAATTGCTATCAAAAGCTTGGGTTTTTGGCATGAATATGGAGACAAAGTGAAGGAGATGTTGTTTTTAGTTCATAACAATTGAGAAAGAGAGTATGAGTATCGATTTTAAGTGCATTAAAAGCTTCAAACCTTGGTTGTACAAGGTTGTTGGGTTGTACAAGGCTGTTGGGAGTATTCATGGCAATGTTGTAAATACTTGAAGATGATGAGGCTGAGAGAGTAAAAAGGTCATTTTCAAAAAAAGTAAAAAAAAAAATTTAATGTCATTTTCGTAAATAAAATGAAGATGTGGGGTGGATAGGACAAAAACAAGATGAGTTAAAAGAAGAAGTTAGTTTTGTGTTTGACCATGAGTTTTGAGTCAAATTTGCAAAAACCCCATATTGTAAAGCTAGCCCAAATAGATAGTTTTATTATAAGAGTTTCAATTTTCTTAATAACTAAGCCCATTTTGTTTTTAATATACTGCAATCCATGTTGCTAAACAACAATGTATTCCTTTTATTAAATGTTATCCATGTTCACAAACAACTCTCAAATGTACTTGGTTTTAATAATATAGATTTTTAAATGTTATTTTTATGAAAAAAATTAAAAGAGCTGTTTGAGAAAATTACCCATAATTAAAAGTAAAAAAGAATTGTTTAAATTTTGGATAATAATAATGATGTAAATATTATCAATTTTAAACTATATTTTGCAGTTTCGTAAATATTATCAATTTTAAACATAAATAATAATTTATCGTGATTGTTTTTGAATTAATAAAAAATATAAATATTCGTAAAACGATAATACTCGTATGTACAGACAAAACAACATAGGTATATTATTTGATAATTTTAAACTATATTGCGCTGTTAATTTGCGTTGATTATTTATATCAAATAAATACCACTTTCAAATTTCTGTTCATGCATAACAAAATCCTCCACCACTTTGACTTTTCAGCATTGACAACTTCTGAACTGTGACAGTTCCATTGAATGAAATATAACTTACCAGACTATTTAAACAAATGATCAAGTTGGATTATAGACGACATTTGCACCATTAATTGTCGATTGATTTGAGATGGTGAATATGCAATGGATGTATTACATTGTTATTTAGTCTGATGAAAATCTTTTGATGTCATGTAAGATAATGTCATTAACATATATGATGTCAAAGCATCTTTGTATAATAAAGATAACAATGATGTCAATCATTTCACAATTCACACCATAACATCAACATAATAATATTGTATGGTTTAATTATCACACAAATATGAAAGACTATTTTTCAAACTTCCACAAAGTTAAAAACACCAATCATATAAACTTGTCCACACCATCCATTACAATAATGAGAGAGACTGTACCATGTTAGAGTATCAAGCAGATTCACTTATTGAGCTGGCTTCACCTTCTTCAAAAGATCTGAAAAAATTGGCAAGCTTCTGAGAAACAGTGAGCTGTGTCTCTTTCAATAGATGTTCTTCACCTTTAAAATCATCATCCCCTTCATAAACTAGATGAATCCCATGCATCTTTAGCTCAACACCTTCTTTGATTGGTGGCTCTCGTTTAACAACTTGTATGGTGTACCCGTCTTTAAACGTCCAAACCATTGGGTGCAAAGCTGGGTATCTGCAGATATGGAGTTGATCATCACTTGTTCTAGGCACTCCAGAGAGGTGCAATGTGTGGGTGTATAAGGGTTGATCAAGTTTTAGAATTTGGGCTTGAACCTCCAGCACATCAGGCAGCTGGTAGTCATCTATGCAGTCTTGGTTAAGAGCCACAACAACGGCCAGGATTACACCTCTGAGCTCTCTGTTGGGTTGAGGAGAGAATGTGAGTGGGTCTTGTGAGAACCAGTCAGGGATTCTGTTCCCAGGTAAGCTCAGATTCTTCATCATTTTCAATGAAGCCTTGGAAAGTCTATTCTTTACTGCAACAGAGAACCTAGAGTTACAGCCGCTCATGTATAATCTTTTCAGAGCCGTCAAGTGCTCTAGGCCTGGAACATCATCCACTTTCCCACAGTTTGTGAGATTGAGCTCATCCAAGATCTGCAGCTTTGAGAGGTCGGATATACTCTCCAATGAAAAGCAGTTTGCCAGGTTTAGCTCCTCCAAGTTACATGGAAGAGGGGGGACACACTTCAGCTCTTGGCAGTCATACAATGTAAATTTGCTGAGATTTGACAGCCCCTCAAGGCTAGATGGAAGACTGTGAAAATAGTTATTCCCTAGTTCTAGTTTCTTAAGAGATGTAAGCTTCCCAAGACCATCAGGGACTTTACCACATATTCCCCAACCTCTAGCATCCACTTCCTCAAGCAACAAGAGGTTTGAGAAAGAGTTTGGTACTTCAACAAAACTAGGTTCTTCACTTGTACCTGGAGAACTTCTAAAGAGAGGCTTCTTCAGTATATGCAACACCCTTAGATTTGAGAGGTTTCCAAAACTTTCTGGCAGCTCTAGCACTGAAGTTTCCTTCATGTACAGATGGTGAAGCGACTTCAAGTCTCCAAATGATTCAGGAAGCCTCTTGATCATTTTACAGTTGTTCATTCGGAGTAAGACTAGGTTTTCAAGCTTGCCAAAAGTTTCAGGAAGTCTCTCAATGTTGGACCCAGTAAGGAACAAGCTATGGAGTGTGTCCATGTTTCCTATTGATTCAGGAAGAACCTTGAGAGACTTGCAGTTCCTCAACGCAAGCTTTTGGATAAAGTGCAAGTCACCAATCTCCTCTGGTAGAGTCTTAATTGGTGTCCAATCCAGGTCAAGTTCTATAAGAGAATTTAACCCACCAATAGAACTTGGAAGATGGTTCAGAAGTTTGCATCCTCCTGCTGAAAAGTCAGTCAAACATGGCAGTGAGCCTAGGCTTTGAGGTAGCTCCTCCACTGCACTTCCGTAGATGAATAGTTTCTTCAATGATCTGAGCTCATTGATAGCGTCAGGTATCTTAGAAAGGGATCCACAGTGCATCAAACTCAGCTTCTGGAGATTTTTTAGATATCCAATAGAATTCGGAAGACTTTGCAGTGAAGTGCTACTAAGATCTAGCTCCTCCAGTGATGTCAACATTCCTATGCCCTCAGGTAGCTCTTGAATAGATCTGCAGCTCTTTAAGCTAAGCTTTTGAAGATTTTCAAGGCGGAAAATCGATTCTGGTAACTCGTTTATCCCAGTTTTATCAAGAAGAAGCTCTTTCAAACATGGCATGGAACCGATGTTTTCTGGTAACACACTCAGATTTGAACAGCCAGAGAGGTAGAGCTTTTCAAGACTCTTCAGTCCAGAAACATCCTCAAGAAACTCAGTGAGGTTTGGACAGTTTCTGAAATCCAGGTGAAGTAATGCTCTCAAGGTACCAACTGATCTAGGAACTTCCACCAGACGCATGCACCGTTCAAAGACAAGCTTCTGTAGGGACTTATGGTTTGATAAATCAGGAATGGCTTCTAAGCTGTGGCAACCACGCAAATTGACAACCTTCAAGTTCCCATCCACCTGAAAGGTAGAAAGAAGGTTCAACAGTGAAACTTTGACTCAAACTAGGCATGGGCACATTTATCCTGAACTGAAAAACAAAGTCCGGTTTTGGATCCTATCAATTATCCGAGCAGATCCTATATCTCTAGAACCAAAAAAGAAATGGGTACCTAAATTTCTATGAAATAGTTTATATACTTAAAAATAGTAACTACATAGACTATGTTTACTGAAATAAGCAAAAGCTTACCCCTCTGCTACGCGAACTCTGGATGCTTCTAATACCACTCTCTGCAAGATCAAGAACAGCAAGTTGCCCAGCAAGAAGATTCAGTGGAACAACTTTTAATGGACAGCCTCTCCACTGCATCCACTTGAGTTCAGATGGAAGAAGTTTAAGATCTCCTGCAAGCTCCACATGATTAACCTGAAGAAGTCTCAACTTTGTCATTGGTGCAAAAGGCTCTACAGGAATGGTGATCTCAGTGGTTTTTGGCTTTTCCTCTGATGGAAATCCTAAAACCTTATTCTTCAAGTAACTAAACACAGTTGTGATGCCTGTTTTTTCATGTAGATTCCTCAACGCAGTGTTCTCTGCACTCCGATCCGTTCCTACTTTATTAAAGTCAAGTACAATTCCTTGGATAGATGATGTCTCCTAATATACGGGAAAATAAAAACATGAGAATGCAACTCAAAGTAGAAATGCTATATAGATTCAAATAAATAAATTACCTTCACATTGTTCAATACAGTCATGATCTCAGCACGGTCCCAAAGTCTACTTCTCATTCTAGTATCCCCAGGGGTTTCTTTAAGGTCTAACTGCCTTCCCATGTCTCTAATCTGATCATGCATCCAAAGATGATTGTCTGATATGAACTTAACAAGAGACTTCTGTCTGAGAACACTGAGAGCAGCTTCAGCGTTAAACCCACAACCGTTTAATACATCAACAATTTCCTCTTTAGTTATCTGCATTTTAAGAAAGAGACACGCAATGTCTAGGAACACTTTCTTCTCTTCATCGTCTAGAGAATCAAAACTCAGCTTCAGAACATCCTGAAGATTGCCTGGTTGAGTATTTTTGAGCTTCTCTAGTTGAGTTTGCCATTCTTTTTCTTCCTTCTTGTCATACAAAAGAGAACCAAATACTTCAAGTGCTAGTGGTAATAAACCTGATATTTTGACAATCTTCTTGGACAGCTCTAATAAACCCTCTGTTGGTTTTTCTTTCCGTAGAGAATGGTAACTAAACAGCTTCAAGGCCTGCTCCTCATTCAAACACCTGACTTCATACCGTTGCTTCACTAAGAGCTTACTCAGAATCTTTTCATCTCTGGTAGTGATGACTATAAGAGTTCCTTCACTATACCAACTCCTCTCACCAACCAATGCATCAACCTGGTCTGCCTTATCAACATCATCTAAAACCACAAGAATCTTCTTCTCAAAAACACTCTCTCTTATCTTGTTTCGGCCTTGGTTAACATCTTCTACTTCAGGTACCAAACGGAGAAGCCCCTTGATCAAAGTCTTTTGTAGGTTGAGTAAGCCATCATGGTCTGATGATCTCTCTCTTACGTTTGAGATGAAAACTCGGTGCTCGAAGTCTGCAACAATCTTGTTATAGAAGGCTTTTGCAAGTGTCGTCTTCCCAATACCACCCATACCGTGAAGTCCCAGGATTTGAACGTCAGAGGTGGATTTAACGTTGATAAGATTCATCAAATCATCGACACGTGAATCCAAGCCAACGGTGTATTCTCCAACGTTCTCTGGTGTGTTGCTTACTTCAGATAAAACCCTTTTCACCAAGAGGCCTATCATCTCATCATCAACAGAGTCTTTTCTGTCAAAATCCCAAGAAAAAAACGAAAAACATAAATTTTCAGACAAAGACCATTCACATCCAAAAATGTTTTGAAAATAGGTCCTAACGAAATGATTTTTTAAAATCTGATTTATATGATTCAAATCGATAATTAATCTAAGATTTGTTAAATTAAGCAATACGATTAGTATAAATCCACAATTTTTTTCTAATTTCTTTTGTATATACTATATACTATAACTTTTATAATGCATCAAAATAATTTTAGAAAAATAAACCCAAAAACTAAAATATTTTATATAAATGTAAAATATATATATAATACTCCAATAATCCGCTAATGGTTAAGGCCTAATCCCCCGAATAATTAGCCTAATCCACCTAATTACGGTCTAGCATTTCTTGAACATTGCAAAAACATAACTCATCTTTTTGTAATGGAATCCTACGTACTTGCAAACAAAACCAGAGAGGTTCCCGACCAAAGTCATAGCTTTCCTCCACCGCTTTATCTTCTCCTCGCTAAACCTTTTCGCATGTGCTTCAAAATCCTTAGCGAAATGATCGTTCTGTTTACGGACATGCGATGGATCGACCTCGTAGAAGATTGGTATCATCGGGCGTTTCAGAGACGCTCTCAGATCGCAGAGGGTAGCTAGCTCGTCAAGGCACCAGTGAGAGTCAGCGTAGCGAGTGGATAAAACGACGACGGAGGCAGCAGAGTCTTCCATGGCTGCGACGAGGCTTGGATTGATCTCGTCGCCTCGTTGCATACCTTCGTCGTCGCGAAAGACGCGGAGTTTCTCTTTTCGGTGGAGAGCGTCGTAGACACGCTCGGTGATGGTGTGGCGCGTGTCTTCGCCTCGGAAGCTGAGGAAGACGTCGAACTTGAGTCTGTGAGGTTTGGAGATCACTTCTGTCTCCATCTCTGATTCAATTCTCGCAGACAAGGTCTTCGTGAAGTCAGAGAGAATACTTTCGATGAAATAGGACTTTAACTTTTGAGATATTTTTGAAGTCGTGATGCGAACAGTAAAAGACAAAAGCTTAGCATTGACTGTGAGTCTTTGTCGGTAGCGGGGGACCAAAGTCAGGTGAAAATTGATTAATTAATCGTCTTCGAAGACACTAGACGAAACAGAAGGTGTGGGGACGTTCAAGAAATTATCTACTAAGGTGCAAATAAATCGATTGACCAAAGTGAAACAGAGCCTGTTTCTCTCGTCTGTGAGAATTGAGAAACAAAGAGAGGCAAGAGGCTAACTGTGTTATTTGTTCTTCAGTAGAGAGGTTTTTGTTCTGAGTTCATAAGACTCACCGGTCTCATATTTACATTTTTAGTCTCCTATTCATGTGTGTGTGTTCATTTGTGGAGAAGAGATGTATTCTTACATGAAACTGTAGGTTAAATTCTCACAAATACTAACCTCTTCTTCTCTACCGTATTACACTAGTAAGTGAAAAGAGATTCTATAGCAGAAAGCGGACTACATATAGAGGTAGTGAGTGAAGGATGATGATGAGTCATAAGAAATGAAATGAGGAGATATTCTCAAAAAACATATGAACAAAAAAGAATGATCCAAGCCTTAAAAAAATAAATAAAGGAGCAGCTAGATCAACAATCAGTTTTGATGTTGAAGACTTGGGACTTGTGACTATGCCTTAGATGAGATATATATGTCAGTCATCATATGATGTAAGAATTTTGTCTAGTATTATAAAAAATGCAGAGGAATAAGATTATAGAGATGAAGATAATGGACTATTCATATACCTGTAAACAAATCCGGAGATATGTCCGATTACACTCATAGCTCCCCTCCATCTTTGTACCTCCTCCTCGCCAAATATTTTGGCATGTTCTTCAAAATCCTTTTCGTAAGGATTCTGTTTCCGAAAATGCCATGGATCAACCTCGTAAAAGATCGGTAATAGCGGACGACCTAGCGATGATCTCATATCGCAGAGCTTGGCTAATTCTTCAAGGCACCAGTGAGACTTGGCATAGTCAGGTGATAAGATGACGATGAAAGCCACTGAATCCTCCATAGCCTCCACAAGACTTGGACCGAGCTCCTGATCCTTGCGTTCAACGTCATGGTTCCATACCCGGACTTGTGCCTTGATGAGCGCTTCATAGAGACGATCCGTGAAACTGTGGCTTCTGTCTCTCTGAAAACTGAGGAATATGTCCCACTTCAGCCTCGAACGAGGATCAGAATTAGCATTGGTCTTCATCATCTGATTCTTCTCTGATCTTTTCCTCTTTGAGATCAAGTTTTATAGGATGGAAACTGTTCAGAAATCCTTAACGTGGATCCTACGAAAAAGATAGTTTTAGTGCTTCAGCACACGCAGCCTCTTTTATTTACTTTTCAAACGGTGGAAGCTGTCAGATCTATAAAAACAACGGACATGGCTCTTTTCCAAACCGGAAACGCAATTACATATGTATTGTAAATCAAAACAGTATACTGTGTTTTAAGAGAATATTTCCAGCCAGGCGATATATCTCTGATACTTGGGTTAAAATTCCCATGTTCGTCTGCTCTGGGTGGATATGTTTGGGACCAGACAAATACATGAGTATACTCAATAAAAATCGGCTATGACCTACTTCAATTGAACAAAACAAGCCCTACACAGGATTTGGTTCTCCAACCGAGCATCACATGCCTTCAGAGCCATGTGTGGAGGATAGAGGCTCCAAGTAAGATGAAACACTTTTTGTGGCAAGCTATCTTAGGCTGTGTGGCGACAACAGAGAGGCTTATCTACAGACACTTGGGTGCCGATAGGAGTTGTCCTAGATGTGCTGGCTCAGTGGAGTCAATTAACCACCTTCTCTTTGAGTGCCCCCTGCCTTGCAGGTTTGGGCTTTATCGGACTATCCGTCCATTCCGGGTGTCTTCCCGAGTACATCTATATATGAAAATATAAACTTCTTTTTTTGGAAGAGAAAATAGGTGGCTGCACGGAGACCACAATTCGACACCTTCCCATGGATCTGTTGGTACATCTTGAAGGCGAAAAACGACAAACTCTTTAATGGGAAGTTGTATCCCCGATGGATACTCTCCAACATGCGTCTCTTGAGGCAGAATGTTGGAGAAAAGGGAACATGAGAGAGGGAATCGACGAGGCCTTTGAGGTACCTCCCTCCTTGGAGACCGCGACAGAACCTCCTGGGAACCCCCGAACCCCGACCTGCCAAATTGATGCATCATGGATCGATCATGGCAGCGTCAGTGGCTTAGGGTGGAGTCTTAAGGATCAAATAGACTATGAGTGGGTCGGACAATGGGCGTGCAGGAGAAGTCGTTCAGCTTTGCATGCAGAGACGGAAGGCCCACTCTGGGCAGTCTCATGTTTGAGAGACTTGCGGATCAACTCGGTACGGATTGCGCGGACCTAGTAGACATGTTTACTAATCCAGAGGAATGACCAACCTTCATAACAGAGATCAAGAGGCTTAAGAGATTACATGAAGACTTTGAGGATATGAGGCTTTCTCATATTCCTCAAAATAAGAATAGTCGAGTGGATGGATTAGCTAAAGAGGCGAGAAGAAAATAATCTATTTTTCTTCCCATATAGATCAGACCAGACCAGATGGAGATGTTCCTAGGAAGATTGACTCGTCTGATCACCACTTGATCTAGTCTTAGATGGGCGGCTGACAAAAAAAAAAAACAATATACAGTGTTAAATTTCATGTATAAAATGGTGTATAGTAAAAACTCTATAAATAAATATTCGATAAATAATAATTTCTATAAATTAATAAATTTCACCGGTCCTAATTTAGGTCTATTTAAAATTTGACACAAATCAATAAAATAATAAGATAATATTTTTTTAAAAAAATTCTATGTAAAAATATGGTTTCATTAAAACTAAAAATTAATAATTTATATGTATACATATTTTATATAAATAAAAATCTTTCATTATATTATTTGTTTTATATTCACAAGTTATTTTTATATTTTCTTAACACTTAATACATTTTTGATGAGATTTAATAATACTATATCTAAAAGCACATTTAAATTATATGCAATATATATGATATAGACCAAACAGTATAATAAAATTAATATAAATTGCAAATTTCAAAATATAATAATTAATATTTATACAACAGCCATATTAATCGGAGTACTAGAGTTTTGTTCCAAAACCTACATCTTGAATCTGTGATAGACGACTGACAGTGTTATCTCTACGTCACCATCCAAATTCAAACTTAAATTATGTATGTTGAAAACATTTCCAAAATTCATTAAATAATCGACATATTATAAAAATTAATTTGGAAAGAAAACAAATTTTGAATATATAATAAATGTCTTTTTTTTTTGAATTTTATGCATTTAGCAATTCCATCATTGGGAAGTTGTCAACCATGTCTTATGGAACAAATAGACGCATCAAATGAAGGCTAGTTTTTAGATGAGATGTATATCAGTATATGTCTAAGTCTCTACCAATCATATAATGTAAAGATGTTTGTCTAGTCTTGTTCTATTAAATTAGGAACATATCTATTGATATATGTTTATTCTAACTATATATTTCCTTTATTTAAAAAAATATTTATTATTCTCTTTGATTTTATTCTTTGTTCTAAAATGCGTTTTCTGCGACCGAGTAGTCACCGAAAAAACATAAATCGGCCGGTTCGATTTGAACGAAATTGCTCAGTTAATTGGGAAAAGGTTTCAAGTTCATCGTTTTATAGTTTTGAAACTCAAAATCACATATTTTATTGTTTAGAACAAAACTTACAAGATTAGCATGAAAGAATACACAAATTACGGAAAAAAACTATTGTAGATTTCGCAGAGAGAGTAGAAGACGAGGATACTTTTATCATTTACTATTTCATTTAAACTAATAAAAAGATATTGTCCAAAACAGGCCAAACAAAGCTCGAACAGATAATGTTAACAATTTTAAGCAACTGTAACCACTAGACTACCCTGTCAATTCAGAAATAGTGAACATATTTAATATATAACCGTTACATACCTAAAATAATTTCCTGATTAATCCTTGTATAATTTCAGGTTAATTGATTAGAAGTTAGGTACTGCCCGACCGAACGCATTACTCCTAGCGTAGTTTTGAACAAGGATTTTATGTTAACATTAACACGTTTTTATTTTTATCTAATACAATAAACAATTTGTATACTGTAACTTCCATCTTTAATTCCACTTCTCACATCCATGGCCCTATTATTGAGCCAAAATCTAAACAGCTAAGTTATATTTTATAATACTAAAATACACGTCATGTTTTATTCTTTTTTATTATTTAAACTAGGGTTGGCCCGGGCTACGCCCGAGGTTTTCTTAATTTTTAGTCTTTATAAATATATTTGTAGGAATATTTTTGCATATACATATTATAATCTATCATTAAAATATAAGTTGATACACAATTTTAAAATTATTCTTTTTTGGTCTTACAAAATTAAACTTTTAATATTTTTGTTATTGAAAATTATATATACGTTGATGAACAAAATGAAGAAAAATTAGTTAAAATTTAGTTCTATTGGTTGGATTTTAGAAATATTAATAAAATATGATTGAAAATGTTAATAAATTGTTGTAGTTAGGGTTATGAATTTGCTGGGATTTGTTTTGTTTGGGAACCATGTATTTGTAAGATAGGTTGTGAAATTTTACATCCTATAATTAACAAAACAGAGTAAAGAGAAAATGAATAATACCAAAATCTTAAAGATTCACTTAACATCCAAAAAATAACCAAGATAAATATAGCCCAAATAGATAATAACCAAATTAGCTAAAATGTTGAAGAGAGAGTCTGAAACTGAAAAGAAACAAAGCATAGATTTTTAGTAACCACAAAACCACCACTTAAACACATCTTAGCCACATTTAGCTTGCTTGGGCTCTTTTTGCCTCAACAATATCAGCAGCCGTTTTCACCCTCTCACCATCAGATTCTTCAAAGTATGTGGAAGGACCATCCTCAGCAACTCCCTTCTGCAAAGTTTCATGGGCGTTTGGTACAATCACATTTTCTTCTAAATCACCTTCAAGTTCTGGAGCTTCTGGAGTAAGCACCTTTGTCACAGTTAAAGCTGGGTATTGCCAGTCATATTGTGATTTGATACCTTCACAATAAATTTGCAAGTCTGTCATATGGTATTAATCAGAGCTTGAGGCACCAGAACTAAGTGATCATCTCCTACACTCTCATTGGCCTAACATACATTTAAATAATTATCACTATATATTTCTAGCTATCTTGGGAGAATACAGTTTCAAATAACAAAGACATACAGTTTTGTAATTACCTCGAAATAGCTCTCAACCAATTGAGAAGCTTTCTTTCCAGTCAACTCATGACCAGCATCACCATAGAGCACAAAAATCATCTGGTCATTATTGTCGTACATAGAGATCTTGGCTATGTACCTCTGTCATGAGCAGATTAATAATAAATGCATTGAAAGTATGAGTATAAGTAAATTTGAATCACTTACTGTGCAACACCAACAATATCACTTTTCCCACATTTTTACACATAAAGGTGGTATGGCCATTGGTTGCCTTGGTGTTGCATTCACCGCAGCCTATGTAATGCTATCTTGAACCGTGCACAACATCATCGATGGTTTCTGTGCACTCAAACAAAGCAACCTACAAAAATGTTTTAAAAACTAAATAAGAAACTAAGACTATCATAATGAATGTGTTATCCATTGGTATTGTACTACCCTGGCAGCTGTCTACTTCATATAATAAAAGAGCTCGCCTATGGTCACTGTCTCGGTCTTAGTGACAATGACTGCATCAAATCTGTTGGCAACATCTAAGTTTAGTTCAACATGATGACAATGTCAAAACATACATTACTGTCCATATATACGCATGATGGCGCCACAGAAGAGATAACTAGCTCACCTATAACAGATCCAATGTTACAATACATAAGCAAAATTATAATAAAATGAGATGAAGAGATTATGTATATCTCTAATATTTGTTATTTCAGAACCTATCGAGTTTACTCAACTCTTAATTCTTCACAGACTTTTCAAATGTTTCATAGCTAATAAGCTCCAAATTCAATCAAACGCAGTTCTATTACTCAAAGCTAACCTAACCAGATAAGATTCCTTAACCATCCTATGTAACTTCTTAAAACAATAAGCAAAAGTTGATAATACGAACCTCCAAATCGTTTCGGGTTTAAGGTGGTGACTAAAATAACACTTGTAGTGCTTCCAGATGCTTTAAATTTTTCAATGAAGTCCGAGGCAGCCTTGTCTCATAGGTAAAACTTCATCACCGGACAACTATAACATCCAAAACTTGTGTGGTATGAGAGACAATATATGAATATGAAAGAATATATAGATTAGCTTACTCATGTGTTTGAACATGAAGCAAAACTCGGGGGGTTGAAGCTATCTCGGCTTAAACTAGCACAAGACTGTCATTGAGAACATGCCCTTTCACAAGTTTGATGTGGCCAACATAATCTGCAAAATAAAACAATCAAACTCGATGCTTTATATCTTATAACCCCAGTAATGAAACCTAAATATCTAAGACTCGATCAAAACATTATCTTAGCCAAACAATTCTGAATATACTAGATCGAATGAAAATACAATATCTAAGATTAGATTAAAACATTATCCTATACAAACAGTGATGGGGTGCAATGATGGGGAGAACTTACCATAAAGATCCCCTTTCAAGTCGCATGCATCTTAGAATTCTTCATATCCATGGAACCGGAAACGACCCTTAGGGAAACAAACCGAAATGTCCTCTAAACAGAGAGGGCAGAGTTCCATGAGAAAGTGATAGTGACACTTGGTTCAGCTAACCGATACAAAGTATTGTTATTAGACTCGAAAAACTTGTTGAGTCTGTAAATGCCACCAGCTTTCATGTGTGGAAAATAAGTCTCCATCCTTCCAGCTGGGATGAAGCCCTGGATAACAGTTTCCTGTTAACAACATTAAAGAGATTAAATTAGAAAAGCTAGACAGGAAATCGTAGAAAAAATAAACAAAAATATTAAAGATATGTAACCCGGAATGACCAACATTAAAAATATAGTGATGGTGCTAACAAAAACTAAAGATCTAATCTAATAGAACTTCTATATCAAACAGTCGATATGAATTCAGTAAGTGAAAAAAGAAAACCAAAACTGTTGAACTAACTTATCCTTCTTAAAATGTAAAGCCGATGATTATAAAAAGCGAGACAACAAAAAGATTTAATAACAATTGTTACGAATTCATTAAAAGAACAAAAGGAATAGACCGATAAGTTTGAATCTAAAATGATTTCTTAGCATGTCGGCTAAAACTAATAATGTAAAAAATAATTCGGTTTATACCTCTTTGTCGATGAAAAGCATTTCGAGACCGATAAGCATCTTCGTCAGAACATTTTGAGATTCCCAAAAGTGAATCAACCAAAACCTCACCTCGCCTTAATGAGGTCTGAATTTCACATCTTTGAAAGACTTCACTTCCCGAACGTTGGCGGAGACAATGGCTTTTCCCATGACGTCAGAGAAGACAGCGGCTTTTCCCCTAACGCCAGAGGAGACACCAGTCTTCGCAGTGTGAATGATCGGACCTGCAGAAGAAATATGAGCGTTGCCATCATCAAAAAAGGAAATTCATCTCTATACCACAATTTTATATGCATTTTTATTTGCTGTAGAATAAACTATTTTTAAAAATTGTATTGTTCATCTTATTGTCTGAGAAAGTACAAAGCTTCGGAACTATATAATTTGATAACGAAAACTATACGGGTTCACTTACCATTGGGTTTCTTCGAATAAGGTATGCCGATTGAGACGCCGGAAGAGACACCGGTCTTGTCGCTGGGTTTGGTCAGTCTGGAAGAGGAGACCGACGCTTCGCCTTTGACTCTCTTCGAGTGGGAATCGCTGATCGAGAGGCCGAAAGAGACACCGGGTTTGCCGATGGGCTTGATCGGTCCGGGAAAGGAGACAGCCTTAACGCCTTTTTGTTTCTTTGAGTTAGGATCACCGGATAATGTGGATTTTCCATTGGAACTCATCGCAATATACTAATGAGAATATACAACCAAGTTCGATCGAAATAAAGCTCCAATTAAGAGTTTTATAAATAAAATCAGAGTGAGAAAAGCTAAGAGAATCCATAAATGAGAGTAAAGGGAGAAACGAAGTGAAGAATGTATTGATTGATCGTGGATCAAAACGTGAAACGGAGACGAAGAAGAGGAAGAGCAAAGGGTTTCACGAATCGATCTAGCAAATTAGGGTTTGGAGAAAATGAGAAAGGGCAAGGTCGACTCGGTGAAATATCAGGGTATAGGCTTTCAATGAAATGAGCTTCCTGGGCCATTCAGATTAACATGCCGGATTTTGAAAAATTAAAGTCCAATATCTGAAATCATACGCTGACGTGACAAAACGAAATGTCCTTATTGAATGATTATTTTGTCCGACGTGGATAATCTATATGAGACTTATATCCTCCTTTTAATACTTGTTTGATAATTATACAATACATATGATGTAACCTATGTTTTAAAAATTGGACCGGACATTGACTATACTTTGTTACTGGATCAATGGTCGAACAGATCCAACCGATTGAACTGAATTTTACATTTTAATAATTTTAAATTAAATAATATATATAGTGTATAACTATAAATTACTTTTTATAAAACTTTATAAGAAAGTGATGTACAGATTTGACTAGTATTCAGAAATGAGGAACGCGATGAGGATCAAGAAGCCAGAATCATATTTTCTTTCAATTCGTCTTTGGTTACTCTCCAACAAGATAAGAAAGTGATGTAACGTCCTCGTCGTATTAAGACAACTCATCCACCACATGCTTCACACGTGGTGAATAATGAAAAAGGCCACCAAAATGTAATACGGATGAATCTCATATTTATCTAAAGACTGATACTTCTTCTAAGTAAATCTCACAGAGACTGCTTCTTAGTTGTTTTACAGGTTTTGAGAAATGGAGGAAAACACAGCGAGGAGAAGTGTACTATTGGTTCCAGTTCCAGCTCAAGGACATATATCTCCAATGATGCAACTTGCCAAAACACTTTACATGAAGGGTTTCTCAATCACAGTTGCTCAGACCAAGTTTAATTACTTTGCCCCTTCAGATGATTTTGCTGATTTTCAGTTTGTCACCATTCCAGAAACCCTACCAGAAACCGATTTCGAGACTCTCAGGCCAATACTGTTTCTTCTTAAGCTCAACAAAGAGTGTCAAGTGAGCTTCAAGGACTGTTTGAGCCGGCTGTTGCTGCAACAAAGTAACGATATCATCTCATGTGTCATCTACGATGAGTTCATGTACTTTGCCAAATCTGCAGCCAAAGAGTTTAACCTTCCAAACGTTATTTTCAGCACCACAAATGCAACCACTTTTCTTTGCCGCACTGTCTTTGAAAAACTCGATGCAAACAATCTCTTGGCTACCCTCAAAGGTTCTCTTAACTCTAGATGTCAATGATCCTCTAATAGTAATGGGTTTTGACCATTTTTGCTCTTTTTTTTCAGACTCCAAAGGAAAACTAGACGAGCTAGTTCCAGGGCTTCATCCTTTGAGATACAAAGACCTACCTACTTCAAAGTTTGCACCATTAGAAAATATACTAGAGCTGTATATGTACACAGTGGATAAACAGACAGCTTCCTCTGTGATAATCAACACGGTGAGCTGTCTAGAAAGCTCATCCCTGTCTTGTCTGCAACAACAACTAGAGATTCCAGTGTATCCTATAGGCCCTCTTCACATGGTGGCCACAGCTACTACGAGTCTGCTTGAAGAGGACAAGAGCTGTATTGAATGGTTGAACAAACAAAAGAGAAACTCTGTGATATTCGTAAGTTTGGGAAGCTTAGCTACAATGGATCAAAATGAGGTGATGGAAACAGCTTCGGGGTTAGAAAGTAGCAACCTGCATTTCTTGTGGGTGATTAAGCCAGGTTCAATACGTGGTTCGGAGTGGATAGAGTCCTTACCTGATGAGTTTAGGAAGATGGTTTCAAGAAGAGGGTACATAGTGAAATGGGCACCACAGAAGGAAGTACTTGCTCATCCTGCAGTAGGAGGGTTTTGGAGTCATTGTGGATGGAACTCGACGCTAGAAAGCATGGGGGAAGGAGTTCCAGTGATCTGTAGACCTTTTTCTACTGATCAAAAGGTGAACGCAAGGTACTTGGATTGTGTATGGAGAACAGGGATTCTAGTGGAAGGTGAGCTAGACAGAAGAGCGGTGGAGAGAGCTGTGAAGAGGCTAATGGTGGGTGAAGAAGCAGAGGAGATGAGGAAGAGAGCCATCAATTTGAAGGAGAGACTGAGAGCATCTGTTAGAGATGGAGGTTCTTCACACAACTCGCTTGATGAATTTGTACACTTCTTGAAGTTTCTGTGAAAGCAGATTAAAAATTAGTCTCTATGTAATCCACCAAATATGGGCAGTGAATCAGAAGGTTAAACTGAATATGGTTGAAAATAATGTAAAGATTTCAGCTTGAAAACTATTGTTTACTGGCTATAAGTGTTTCTTCTTTACTTTTAAACTAGGTGAATATTCGCGCTCACACGAAATAGAATTTCTATACTAAAAATTATTTGAATATTAACTTTGATCTTTGAACCATTATTTCATATGTTCAAACGTATAGTAGTGAACCATTAATGGTGTTAGTGGGAGTTACATTTATAGTGATTTAAATTTTTTGAAAAGTTTAGTATTATTGGTTTATTGATTCTTAAATTCTTACTAAAATCTACTGTTATTGGAGTGGCGATTTTATATATATACTAGATTTTGACCACGCTTCAAAAGCGTGGAAATTTTTTATGATTAAAAATTTATATAATTGGGTTTTGTCTTAATTTAAAGAATGTTTTGGTATAAAATTAGTTTACCAAAATTTGTAGTGATAGTTGTTTTTCATTAGTTTTTAGTTTCAATTTTTATTTTTAGATTTTGTTTTAAATTTTCGTTTTTAGTTTTCAAGTTTCTATTTTTGATTTTCAGCTTTTGGTTTGGGTTTTAAATTTTTAGACCAGCTGAGTTAGTTTGAACTGATATTACCAACAAACAAATCTCAATTAATCGAACATGTAATTTAAAACTGAAAAGATGACAAAATAATTTTCTAAAATTTTTGAAATATTTTATTTTGTAAATAAAAAAAAAAAAAGCAAAAAACGTAACCTGGGTTTTCATCTTTTGGTTTTGTATTTTAGTTTTTAGATTTGATTTTTGATTTTGCTTTACATTTTTTTTTGAAGTTACCATTAAAATTTATCAAGATAGAGTGATTGTTATTTAAAATAAAAAATATTAACATGTTTTAAAGTACATGATTTAAATAAGTGATTAATAATATATAATTTTATTTTGTTGAAAATATTAAATATTTTTGGGCTAAAAAATATTAACATGTTTTAAAGTACATGATTTAAATAAGTGATTTATAATAGATAATTTTGTTTTCTTGAAAATATTAAATATTTTTGGGCTTGAAAATAGTAATTGATTTTTGATTCATTAAGGTGGAAAGTTTATTTAATGTTTTTTAGAGTTTTTCTTTAATACTAAGCCCAAAATCCAAACAATTAAATGTCATAAAAGCAAAAGTAAGCCCAAAACTCTATTTCATAAATAACCGCCGGTTTAATTTAAATAATGCGGTTCAATCAACTATATAACTTGTATTATTTGTAACACTCTAGAAAGGGTCTAAATTTAAATGACAACTTTTATCAGTAGATAAAAAGAATGACTCTATTTTAATAGAATAGATTTTAATTAGATAATATTTTAAATGAGATTTCATATTTATATGATTTTATATTAATTTATGTTTTGCTATAACAAAAAAAAGTTAAACCAATTTTCCCAAAATTCTCATTGTAAGTTTTTAATAGATTTAGTAATTTATAATCATTTAAAAAATTCAAAATATAGCCTACAAGAAAAAATCTAAATTTTATTATTATATGATTAATGTGATTGTTTAATTTCTTTTAAGAATATAAAATTAAACAAAAATGATGGAGGATACAAAAATTGTTACCTTTATTATTCAAAAGCCTTAGTTGTCATTTATATATATGTTAACCATGCTAAGTAATTCTGAAATTTTTATTTAAGAAAAGAATGTAAAATATTATTTTATAAACTACTAATTAATTTTATAGTTAGTTTAATAAAAATATAATTTATATTTAGATGGACCAACATTCTTTCTAAAGATTCTAAAAATTATTCTGATGATGACACGTGTCTACAAAAATATGTTATAATACTTCTCAATTAATATATAGAGGATAGTATGTATACACACCTAATCCAAAGGATTTTATTCTATTATCTTAGAGGGAAAATTGCCAAATATGACTCAAAATTTGATTTGAAATGCAAAAGTTAACCCAAACTTGAATCAAATGCAAAAGTAACTTTAAAGGCTGTTGAAATTACAACCAACCCCTTGTGAACAAACAAAAAAAAAGAGTTTTTTTTACGTTTCTAGCCCTCACAAGTCGTCTGAGACAGTTTTTCTTAAAAATAATTTAAAAATTGTGTAATAAATATTTTGATAAATGAAAAATTGGAATTATGTAATTAACATATGTCTTAAGAGATATAAATTAATATATAACAAAAGTCAGTTGTTTTCAGCATAGATGAGTGAAAGTAGTGAGTCATGATATTCTTTGGTTTAGGTTTCACCAACA